AGTTTCCGTACGACTGCACAAGCGCAGAAGTACATGACCCAATAAATTATGAATTTTTTTTTGCGGGCAGTACTTGTATTTAGTAAGGTCATGTTAAGTAAAAGTTGTGCACTAAAGAAAGATTCCCCGCAGAATCAATAATGCTGTATACGATTTGATATAATTATGTGAACGCGAATTCTTTTTCAGAAACGGAATTATACAGACTTGCCTTGTGTGGCAAATTGAACTTCTCTTTTACTGCGCTAACAACGACATTCTAGTTGCGTTTCCAGCTTCTGGGATTTGTTGCATCCTAAATATTTTGTCTGTACCAGCATTTTTGATAGGCCAAAGTGTCATCTAATTCTTTTTTCGCCTAATTATGATGTCAAATATTACAAAGTTCAACATATCAGAATTTTCAGGTTTAGTCGATCAGCTTGTTGATCCTGTGTTGGGAATTGCCAAATAGTTCTCGCTTCCCTTAGACTTGGTGATTAAGGGTTTTAGCAATGTTGCTTAATAGTAAAATAAGTATCTCTAGAGTTGCTGCTGTTAACTGTGGGGTCTATGTGTCTACGTAGCTCGATCAATTTTGACATCTTGACGGCGTTAACATTCTGATGTTTTGCTCTTTACCAAAGTTTTTCTTTGATAACGTGATCTCAGCCTACTGTTCATTTTGCTAGGTTCGTTGATTGAAATAATATCCAAACGCATGGAAAAATACCTGACCGAAGTTGTCAATTTGATAAAGCTCGCTATAACACGCTCTCTGATAAGTTAAACAGCAAGTTCTACCAGAGTCCAAAGGTTTTGGCTTAAGCATATATTTTTTTGACAAAACGCACAAGCAGAAAGGAGAAGGGGTATACAGGGTATGTCTCGATAAATTAACGGTGGAACTGAAAAGATGATCGATAGGAAAAGGAATGTTGATCTTGACATTACTGGTATTAATGGTATTTGGTTTGATGAAGTTTCCGGAAAAGTTTCACACTTCAAGAAGGTTCCACAATTCGTACCAGCAGCACAAATATATAGAAATTTGGTAGATACGACTAGACATGCGTGCGAATGGCTATCCGGAGCGGCGTTCGGCATGAGTGCATCGTACCACATACGCGTAACTTTATATTAACCTGCATCAACGACAGAATTCCCTGTCTAGCTAAGTCCTAAATCTTGAAGTTCTAAGTGGCTTGTTTGGTTAGAAAAAGCGTAATGTACTTTTGTTTTTCGCTAATAATGTTTCAAAAATGGAAAAGTGTTCGGCCCTCTAGAGTTGTTTCAAGTTCGAGCCGCTTAGCTTTCCTGATCCTCAGTGCTCTAAACTTCTTCCGGGAAAGTATTGGGAGCCGTTAGATATGACTCACCTCTCCTAAGCTTGGCATGAAATTATTTCAGAATCAGTATTGGAAGCTGTGGCGTAGTTTGATCAATGACTGCCGGTATCTTAGGTGTTTTCTCATTGACCAATTAAGCTCAACACCTTGTGATAACGTGATCCATGTCTGTTTATCATGTTGCTTGGTTCAATGGTTAAAAAAGAGAACTTTTTCATGGGTAGGGAGACATTTGATGCACTTTTGATTGAAATGCTGTTTGATAGAAAATTGATCCATAAGGAATGGATATGCCTCGAGGCTACATGATTTACGTTCATGATCTTACTACTACGCCAGATACGTGAAAAGTTCTAATTGCGCCAGTTGGTATGCCATGGAAACCGAGCCCCCACAACGCCGCGTAAATTGGATTTAAAACTTTTCGAGTAAAGTTGAACGTTTTTAACATACATCTGAATAGCTTTTTTACACGTGAAAGATTTTGATTTTATGTACAATGTTACAAATTCTGTCTATAATACGCTGCAGTTTTCGACACTTCGATTCTACTTCTATGGACTCTTTATGTTAAAAAAATATGAAAAATGACCAAAGACAGTATGCCTAATAGATGTGGAAGACGCCTGCCATGATAATGATCTCTACATTACCAACATAGTTTTTCAGTATTATAAATAAGGAAGATACACGATGTAGTCATCTTGTGGTAGGCATTGGAATCAGATTGACTGTATCCTGAAAAGAGACTGATTGAGGTGCATCATCGATGCAAAAGCGTATTCTGGAATCGATTGCAACTCTGATCATAACTTAGCAGGTTCCATAGATCAGTAGGGAACGATCAAAATCAGGAAACGTGCGGCCCGATCTTGGGGCCCTTGATGACCCAGCTACCTCAACCTAATAAGGCATACAATGTAATAAAAACCCTAACCCTGTTTGCAAGAGTTCTTGTAATCGTTTGATAATTGGCAAGCTTAAACAAAAACGTCCAACCGCCTTCGGTTACTCTTTTTAACTCTGGACAAAGTTGGCCTTCAAAATTCCTCCTTGTATGCTTTGCTTTAACAAAATTCAAAAAATATTTCCTTGAGCCTGACTCTGTGAGCGTGAATTCCGCTTTCAATTTTTCTCTCAAAATTGTGTAAAAAATTTGGTTATATAATAAATCCTTCAGTGTATGATCGCCTAGCTCTTTTTCGGTGCTTTTTTTTTAATCGACCTCATATTTGGCTCATCCATAAATATGCAATTTAATAGAGATTGAGAAATATTCGCCCTTCTTTAAATTTACATGAAAGTTTTTGTATTTTGCCATGAAAGCTGGTGGTGACCACGTGACCTGTTTTTGGGCGTACCAGGTGAGACACGCGAACATATCTCTGGACATTTTGCATATTACAATGTATGCTACCAAATACCAGTTAAAAGCCTAACACCAAGCTTATTTTCGTAGTCAGCAGGGAGGAAAGAATAACAATGAGGCGAACAGTAAACGAAATCCGTTTAGAAATGCGAACCGCTCTAAAAAATAATTTGCTGTTTGCTGAGTTCGACATTTTTTGCAATCAATCAAATCCTTTTGTCCATTGGAGTCTGCCCTCGATGTTTTAATTCAGGAATAAAATGAAACATCTATAGAAGAAGGTCCATTCGTGGCCATAGTCTAGCTTTAGAGGAACTTTTCATTACTACACGGCACACATTGCAAATTTGAAAAATTTACGATTCGTTGCGTTCAGTAAATAGGTTGAATTAAACAATTTTGAAGGCAACAGGCACTAACTCAGACTTTCGAATATCATTTCCTAATCCCATCCACTCACACAAGCGCGCTCGTATGAGGTCGGCAAGGAATCCTCTGCCGGCAGCTTGACTTCCAAGAGCGAAAATTAACAACTCTTCAATTAAAAATTACGCAGTTGTAGCTGTATTCAGTAGGGTAAAGGCTCGTATGTCAGCACTGAATTTTGTGTTAGGATGATCCTAACCTCTTTTACGTAAAGTGATCTCTGGGGTCAAATATTTGCTCAAACAAAAACATCACTGCATTCTAAAAACATTAGTTCTCTTCATGTTAGACAACGCATGAGCAAGAGGAAGGAATACCTGTTTTTATCCGGCTCTTCTTTATGGATTGGTAATGGAGACGTTTTCTGTTTAAGGAAAGAAGAGACAAACAGCTTAGTAAACTCAGAAAATTGACAGTCAAAGGCTTTATTTGGCTACTGGTGCAGCACGATTTTTTACGCATTGAACGGAAATAGAGGTCGTATGATGACGCTAGAAGGTAGCGTTAAAGAATATTTGTCTCACATTCAAAACAGAAAACCTGCCGCATCACAAATATTTATGAGTACCCAGTTCCTCAAGAGAAAGATGACTAAAAATATATTGTCTAATTGACACTCAAACAATAATTACATTTTAAAAAATAATTACATTTAAAAAAATAATAACATTAACAATGATAATAGTGATAACAATAGCTATACAATTATAATTTAAAGTGCCTATGACACGATATTTTCGTTTTGGGTCTTATAGCTGTATTTAATATTTTTAATAATCGACCTTGGCGAGTTCTCTTTAGAAAAGTGTGAAGACACGTCGGCAACTATGGTGAAGAAAGGTGAAAGCAAGAAGAGAGGACGAACGTATTGCGTGG